CTTCTAATCGTCCGATTGTAAAAATAAATATATAATTAACAGAGCCTACGTTTATTTTATTTCCTTTTCTATTTCGTTCGAATTTGTATCTTCATAAACGATTTTTGTATCAGTTAGCTAGTTTAAATGCTCTTGTTATACTAAAGATTTTAATATATTAGTTTATACTACTGAAATATTGTAAGTAGCTCAAAGCTCTTTCATTCGATATTAGTAAAAAAGGCCTTTAATGCATTGAATAATATCAATAGTGATTTAACCAAATGTACTCGTTTATAGATGTATGTGCATTTAAAATATGTACCTACATTCACACAATGTTGAAACATTATGTAAGGTCGCTGTAAATTAATAATACATTTGCAAGATGGATCTCTGTATAAATAGCTTCAGTTGAAGTTCATCATATTTTGATTATTTTATCATGTTTATAGCAATCTTTTAAGAGGAAATCAAGACATATTTATCATGAAATAGGGAGACAAAAATTATTTCATTTTTAAGTACTTTGTATGCATATATATTTATGCAAAGGTTGTTCATTTGCATTTCCGCTTAACTTATACGTTTATAAATGCTTTCTAGTGTGTTGATTTGATTAAAATTGTGTAACGTTCAACAGTAATAATAATAACTTATCCGTTCTTCAAATAACGATTTCAGTTCAATTCAGAGTCTGGTGGTCAGTAGTCGCCTGTAATATTAAGGAATAGTAGTCCTAGATTTTGAAATTCAGATTACATAAAATTCCTCAAGATAACTTCTATAAAGAACTAATAACAGCGTCAAGAACCACTAAAAACTGAGAAACACTCAACAGGTACGTAAGTCAACAAATGATCTTTACTCTCCAGGCTTAAGAAAAAAGAAAAGCGGTTAGCATTGGTAACTTTGTGCAACTTACAAAGTAGTGTAGCTATCGTCACTTTTAACACCTGTCTTATTTTATGACTTGTCGACCTCTACAATTTACGGAGTTTCTACTAGAACTTTCGTGAAGTCATTTGGATAAAGGGAATCGATGTGTACTAGCTTACTGCTATAGATGTAATCACTTTTTCTTTTTGCCCTTATCGTTTCAGGCAGTTGAATCTAAATTTTAGATAGATATAAATAGTTGAATTATGTTCATTTGTCGTTTAGATATTCCTATTAACATTTAGAAATGTAATTGCTCGGTGTCTTTTGGCATACGTACCTGCAGGTATATCCACCTGACGAGTCTCAAACAGGACCAATGGCCCGTCCTGGATTTCACTGTTAGCTGCTACCAATCTCTGCTTGAAATTTTAACTAATAGTTGTAGTTCAAGATAAACACTAGATACTTCTTGTTAAACAAACTTCTTTTATTGTTTTAGAAGATTTGCATTTTAAATAAACAATGGTAGTCAACTTTGTTGAGGTATGACATACATTTCGAGCTTATAATTCTTTGTAATAATGAAATATAGTAATCGTTAGGGAGATAATTATAAATATAATGACCTTGAATAGTCATTTGCTTTTAAACTATGGACTAGAATTTTACTGATAACAAAGATCATGTTTATTTACATATCAGGTACCAATTACTGTAATCATGTAGGGTAATGACATCTCACTAAAATACATGTTTCATGGTGCCTTGAATTATCTGAAACTGTGGTGAAAAGTATACTGAATAAAAACCTGTCTCTTAAGGAAATTTTTTGTTAGATTTTATACATCAATCTAAAGTTTTAGTGATCATATGTAAGACTGTGGGTTAGATTTGCAACGACAAGTAAAAAATTCCGCTTTTTCAACGACGTTATGGAGGAAAACACCTTTTGTTGTCTTTCTGTAGGGATGCATGTGTATTACTGATGCAATGATAGTCTATTTTCTGCTTTCCTTCTAGATTTAGACTACGTTATGCCAAGATAATTAGTTTATGACTAGGTAACATATTCGAGTAAATCATTTCAAGCACAGTTTACTAGTTTATCCATTGGATTGTTTAAATTTACTAAAAAGAACTGATTATTTCAAACTACTATTATATATATAAGGCTTTTGTTGGTTTGTATTCAATTTAAATAAAACACATCTCAGGAAGAATAAATGTAATCTATATATATTACCTGGTCGAAGATAATGAATAGCAAGCCTTGTAATTAGGTTACTTACTGGTTTGCACTTATAACACGAAAAATGTGCAGTCTTGTAGGGAATATAACGATTCCCGTTTAGTTTAAACCATCTGCTGTTAATGTCACTAAGAAATGACTTACTCAGTCTTATGGATTATGCCCAGAGAAAGATAAAGAAAAGGAAAAGATAAAAATAAATTGGGCAAGGAGAGGTAGTTTCCTATATTCAAAGCAAAAGTAACTTATACGGGATCATCTTCTTATATTGTAAGGAAAAACAACGATATTCCTTCCATTTCATGTCTAAAGCTTTCATAAATGTTTTCTCCTTCATAAAGTATTTTTTCAAACTCTATCTACTACCTATCAGGTGAGATGATTTCAAGAATATATTGACAGAAATTTCGATTGTGAACTCGTATCACTTAAAAACATGTATGATTGTTTGATTATCACCATTTTAGTTTAAGAAGCATTAACAAAGCGCATTTACAATTCTATGTGTAACGAAACATTTAATTTATTCATTGATTTATAGAAACTTCTTTGATTCGAAACGGAATGTGTTTGAAATTTCAAGAGAAAAAAAAGAGCGGCAACACAAAAAAAGAATGAAAAGAATAATTCAATGAATGAATAGTATGTGTTTCACAATAAATTCTTATTACTTATTTCCTTTTTTCATCGTTTCCTACAGTCTCTGTTAAAAAGTATATTAAAAACGAGTATAACAAGGAATCATGTATATACACACAAATGATAATCTAAACAAATTGTCTATCATGTATGTAGTCAATAACGCCTTGTAAATAGAAAAAAAAAGAAATCAGTTCATGAGGTTCAGACGTTAAGAGAAATATCAGAGGAAAAAATACAGATAATAACTAGAAAGAAAGAAAGAGGGAAAGAAAGAAGGGACAATAAATTCTTTCTACTTTTAGGTAAAATAATGGTTGGATTAAAATATCTTGAACATTTTTCTATGTGCAGTTATCTGTAAATTATGTTGACGAACTAAGAAAAAAACTTTATGAATTGGTCATTTACATTTGTATATGTAAATGTGAATACACAAATGTGTGCGTACAAGCGTTAAAAAACTGACGAAAAATCTAACAACATATAAATTGATATAAATAATTTTTTGTACACTCGATTATTAAAGTTTGTTTTTACTTTTTTTCTACTACATTTGAATTATTTAACCAACAAAGTATTAGTGATATAACAAATGCAGAAAATGCAATACAAATTAACCAGTTTGTTTTAATATATTTGGAGAAAATAGAATTTTTTGTTGTTGAATTTATCAAAGACATGCATAAAACTTATTATTTTAAACCTAAATGGTGGTTTGCATTTATTGACGACCAACTGATTGTGTAAAATTTTAGTGTAGTACAGTCGATTTCACTGTTTGAAATCATGAGTCAACTGAAGCTAAACCACCATGGAAAACCTGGAATCACAGGATGGCCGTTTCGTCTTAGTATAGGACTCCTCAGCAGCACGCATCCAGTGGTCTAGTGGTTAAGTGCTCGCACGCGAAACCAGTAGGTCCTGGGTTCGGATCTTCCAGGGGGTTAGGTCGTGGATGCGCACTTCTGAGGAGTCCCATACTAGGACGAAACGGCCAACCAGTGCTTCCAGGTCTTCCATGGTGGTTTAGCTTCAGTTGACTCATGATTTTAAACAGTGAAATTTCAAAAATCTCCATAAAAACCCTTCTGATAGTACAATGATTTATCATACCATTTTTTTATTTGTGTATAAAGTAAACATATACAGTAGAAAACTTTGACTATAATATGTGAAGTATCTTGTTAACAATCTAATCTAATTGGTAACTGTTTGTAGTGGTTACATTTCCGAAAATTAGGTTGTACCATTGATTTGTTTATTATAATTTGAGACAGTTTTGAACTAATATAGGGTATATGTAGAGATTATAGCATTTTTATAGTTGAATTCATGGAGTAACTTTAGCTAGACCACTATTAAATACTTGAAAGCAGTGAACAGTGGTTCCATCTTAGTATAGGATTGCACATTTCACAAGTGAATACATAGTTTGTAGACTACTTCAATAAATTTACAATATTGCCTGAAGTAAATATCTGTCTGACACCAGTCATGAATGAAACTCCACAAGTTATTGCTTATCAATTTAAGCTCATGTGATTATCTCTAGAAATTAGTCTCCGCCTTCACGTATCTGGGTAGCATCATCAATGAACAAGGAGGATTAGGTATAGACGTAAAGTTGAGGATTGGTAAAGTAAGGACAGCATTCCTACAGTTGAAAAACATATGGAACTCAAAACAACTGTCAACCAATATCAAAGTCACAATCTTCAATACGAACGTCGAAACAGTCCTACTGTACGGAGCTGAAACTTGGAGAACTACCACAATCATCATCAAGAAGGTACAAGTATTTATAAATAGATACTCAGCATCCATTGACCGGATACCATCAGCAACAGCCTTCTGTGGGAGAGAACAAATCAGCTTCCAGATGAAGAGGAAATTAGGATAAGACGATTGAAATCGATGGGACATACATCACGCAAATCATCAAACTGCATCTCGAGGCAAGCCGTAACTTAGAATCCTGACGGGAAGCGGAAAAGAGGAAGGTCAAACAACGCACTACATCGGGAATTAGAAGCAGATATGAAAAAGATGAATAAAAACTAGAAAGTGCTGGAAAGGACTGCCCATGACAGGGTTGAATGGAGAGTGATGGTAGGCGCCCTATGTTCCTTCACGAGGAGTAATAGACGTAAGTAAGTAAATAAGTGAGAACATATTTTTATCCAAAGTTTACATGTATATACACAACAATATGTAAAATTAATGTAAAGATATATAAAAAACATATTACCTTTCCGAACATTATGTACCGATACTGGTTTATTTCCACAAACTCGAAATCCATAACCATATTCATCTCGTTGAACAATTGTTCGAAATTCTAATGCTACACTTTGATTATTCATTGTTGAATTTGTTAATTTTTCTTTTATATTTTTATTTTGTTTTAGTTTATCCATTTTTTCTTCAATAATTTTGTTATTTTGTTTATCAATATTATGGTTGTTTATTTGATTAATTTGATTAATATTTGGTTCAAAGTCTTCACATGGTGATGATTCTGCAGTACTATAACGACTAGTTGAACTGTCTTCATCATCATCATCACCATTATTATTATTATTATTATCATCATATTCGTTAACATTATCATGATTACTATTACTGCTATTATTATTATTATTATTATTATTATTACAAGAAGGAAATGGATCTATTGTAGTTTCATTAATTTGCATTACTGTACTATCATTATGAAATTTATTAGTTTGTCTTTTAATGTTCTCATTTAATCCAACATTTTGATTATTCTTATCATCATTTTCCTGATTAATTTTTGTAGTTGATGGTAGATTTTCTGTAAAAATTGAATTTTGTTCAATTGAAGATTCAAGATTATTTAATATTTGTGTAGAACTGAGTTTTGAAAAAAAAAGAAAAAGAAAATGGGAAAAAATCAATAAATTGTTTTACAAAGAAATAAATAGAAAGTAGACGTAAAAGCAATTACAAGTTTTGTTGCCCCATTATATGACGTCATCAGTATATACTTGAAAAAGTTTAACTAATGTTATACTGAAAATGATATTTCTTTACTTATTCACATTCTTTCATCAATTTTCAAGAAATTGTACTTACTATTTTATAATTATGACTGGATACTTCAGATTTTATTAGGGATTTAAATATTTTATCACGAATGGTAAATTGATAAAAAAAATTTTAATCTCTGAATTTAGTAAATATTCAATGACTAAAGAATATCATGAGTCAATTGAAACTAGACCACCATGGAAAACCTGAAAGCACTGGAAAACTGTTTTGCTATATTATGGGACTCCTCAGAAGTGCGCATCTAGGAATTCACCTGGCGGGATTCGAAAACAGGACTTATCAATTCATTTTATTAGAGCAAACTTTATGCAGATTTTATTCAAGTTTATTTTTTTCGAATATTCTGAAAGACAAATGTGTATTGTTTTATTAAGAAAAGATATAATCTTAATAAGCAAATTACTTGTATTTCGATAAGTATACAAATGTAGATTTGACACTAATAATTGGTTCCTACGATTCATTGTCACCCTGATGAATCACGCAAATTCATTTAGTCGATTGTATAAACATCATTGGGAATCACTTATCTAATATAACGATTTATTTCTTCAAATATTATTGGACAGTTTAAGAACTTGTACTTTGACCAAAATGAATATTAACTACTTCCGTCTAGATAATTTAAATTAATAGGAAAAAGTGTAGTGAACGAGAACATAAGTGGAGACAGTATATTCCAGTACGGTATTACAGAATATCTTAGTAAAATCTGAAAATGATAAAATAAATAGTTCATTTGCAAAATATCCATTAATTGTCTCAAACTTCATTATTCCTGTATTTCCATACCAATTGCTTTCTTTTCCTGTTCTTTTCTGCTCGATCTCGGAAATACGCTGCCAGATATTTTATTCCTAACTAGTGTTATATACTACTTATATCGATATAAGTAGAACACACCACAAAAGGACAAATTAAACGAAAAGATGAAAGTATTGTGTAGCTTAACCAATTTTTCTATAGAAAATGTTTTGTTTAAATGTCTTAATCGAATAATGAACAAACATTTGCACTCGAATTCCCTAAAGACAGACAGTTTTTATTTTCATCCTGACTGACGACATACTCGATCTAAATAGTTTTGTACTAAACAATAGAATGTGTAGCGTCTTTCTACTATGTATGGAAGTCATTTAATATTGTGTTGAATTATTTTTATTTTACGAACATGTATTTCGTTTTAAATCGTTTTATTTAGAAGCCAAATACATTGTTAAACATTGGGACTTCAAGCTCATTAGTGTCCATGTTGCAAACTAATGGTTATGGATTAAAGAATATTCTTCGCTAAAAGATACAACAGTTTAAATGAGATATTAAATGTCATTTAATTACATATAAACCATGTATAAATGTGACCGCTACTATTATTTGCTTTGATTTTATGTGTTATTAATAATTTTAAATAACTGGTAACATTCTGGATAGTTTCAGAGATTTAGTATGTAAGTCATACTAATCGTGGACCCTACTCGAAAAAGCAAAACACTCAGTAGCTGCAAAATTCATTTCGTTACATGTAATGACATTTAGTGGAACGGAGATTTTCATATGTTATACCATTTAATCTAATTAGAGGGATCTATCGAAAGACGAACGTGGTTTAACTACTTATATCGAATAATAGTAAGACTAGTTTTAATACATTTTTTCTCAAATACCATTTTATAAATCGGTCAACTAAGCTAATATGGAGGGATTGTGTACACCATATAATTTATCTCTTAGTTTTCAAGTAGCTATTTGAGTTTGATAGCAACTTTTACTGTTATTTTCCACGTATTTGTGATCTGGATAAGTCGAGTGAATTCAAAATAAGTGCGACTGTAACACTGTTTGATATTTTCTTTAAAAGCATTTACGCTGACCATGTTAACAATAACCAATAGTTAAGTAAATTAAGAGGAATAACAAAGTGAATTCATTTCATCTGGTATATTTTAGTCTTTTCAATGACTCACAAAACTTATCTTGAGTGGTGGTTTCTACATTCAAGTTATGTAGGTGACAAATAAGTGAGACACAGTTCATAATACAGTCAACTATGGGAAAATCATACAAACAATTTGATAAAACAGGAGATATTTAAATATACCATGATCAACACAAGTTCAGAAGGTTTTAAATTAGACTCTATGTACTATTAAGAAGTCCGAATTCAGAAAAAAAGAACTAGCCGATATTCTCTTAAATTTTTAATAATTCTCTCGCGAATATCATCTTATAACAAAAATAATCTTATAATCTAATTTACTCATTGATTACAATAAAGGAGTGTCAATAATGAGACTAAAAAGATTGTTGATATGTGAATGAAGGTTGTTAAAACTCAAAAAAATATTTACATCTTTGAAAAATGTAAAGGATATGAAATGGAATGAATTCACTTCATTCCATTATGTTGATTGTTCTTGATTTATAAAAGGTTGTTCAGTAAACTGTGCCTATAAAATAGTTGATTTGTGTCAAAATAAAATATTTTACTATTGAATTTGATTGAAATCGAGAACCAATTTTAGTTACACTACAACTGAAAATCTGGAAACATTGAATGGCGTTTTCTTACTAATATGGGATTCTTTAGAAGTCTACATTCACGATCCATGCATGCACGATTTGTGAAAGTATTTGGATTTTATATCATACAGTGACCTTGAATAAAGTTAGAAATGTAAAATATGATATGCTGACTCAGCAGTATAAAGGCTAAGCGTTCAATTGGAGGTTTAAAGTTCCTGAGTTTGATTCCCATTTGAGTCGAGATTTTACATTTCTAAAAAGTCCTATAGAAAAACCAAGTTACTCTAAAAGTGTTTTCTGGTTTGCAGTGGTCGTTTAAATAAAGTTCTTTTGTGATGTAGATTTCAACTACCTATTTATAAGTAAATCATTCAATTTTTTTCTTCAAGATTCTTCAATCCAGATGTTGAATTTTTTTATGTACAGGTGGAGTAAACGTTGGAGACAGAAAAAAATCCATAGTTTTATGTTTTTCACTAGTTAGATAACAGTTTATAATTATAGAGTTACTAAAGATAAATTTTCTCCTGGTGATCGACTAGATCATGAAGACGTCAACATCAGAGGGGAAGCATGGGATACAGTAGGTAGCTAAGATGCAACTGGACGATCTAGACTTCACAGATGATCTGGCTCTTCTGTCGCACACGCAACAACAAATTCAGGAGAAAATGACCAGAGTAGCAGCAACTTCAGCAGTAGTAGGTCTCAACATACACAAAGAGAAAAGTAAGGTTCTTCGATACAACACAGCATGCAACAATTCAATCATACTTGACGGAGAAGGTTTGGAAGATGCAAAAGCCTTTACAAATTTGGGCAGCATCATTGATGAGCACGATGGGTCTGATGCAGATGTGAGGTCGCGGATCTGTAAAGTAAGAGCAGCATATCTACAACCGAAGAACATCTGGAACTCAAAACAACTCTCAACCAACACCAAGGTCAGAATGTTCAATACAACTGTCAAGACAGTTCTACTGTATGGGGCAGAAACTTGGAGAACTACGAAGGCCGTGATCCAGAAGATACAGGTGTTTATTAACAGTTGTCTACACAAAATACTTCCGATCCGTTGACCAGACACCATCAGCACCAACCTACTGTGGGAGAGAACAAACGAGATCCCAGCGTAGGAAGAAATCAAGAAGTGGTTAGGATGCACATCGAGGAAAGCACCCAGCTGTGTCACAAGGGAAGCTCCAACTTAGAACCCTCAAAGTCAAAGGAAAAGATAAATACCAAAGAACACATTACTCCGAGAAATGAAGGCAGACATGAGGAGAATGAGCAACAATTGGATATAACTGGAAAGGAAGGCCCAGGACAGAGCAGGTCGGAGAATGCTGGTCGATGGCCTATGCTCCATCGGGAGTAACAGGCATAAGTTAGTAAGTGTACTGAAAATGCACAAATTGATGACGTTCATTCAAATGAACACCTTTTATTATGTTATCATAATTTCTTCTGGATATTTTATGTTATGAATGTCAATGCATATTTTACTGTCTTAAATACTTTCCGTATAAATAAATCAATTTCATTATCATGAAAATAATATCAATAAATTGACTCATGATACAAATCAAAGTAAATGATGACTGGTTTTGTGAATTTTCTTATGTAACTTAGGAAATGGTGAATATGTCTGATAGATCCAAACTGATATTTTACAGAGAAAACTATCCCTATATATAAGCAACTAAATTTAAATTGATAAATAAATGAAAATCAAATCTATCCAAGTGTTTATTTTTTGGAATTTTTTCACAACCAAAAGGCTGAATTCAGGTACATTCATTTTAACTGGTTTAAATGTAGGACTAGTAAAACCATTCTCTAATGAAACAGAAAGCTTGTGATTTAAGGCTATATCGAGACAATCTGTACAGGATGCACATATGCCAACATGTGACTGATCAATTACAGTCCTAAATAACAATGGGAAGATACAAGTAAAAAAACATCAAGTGAATTTAGAAATAAGTTAGGTTTACTTGTAAAGTTTTATACATTTCTTTCATTCCAAGCAAATAAAAATCACTTGTGAATGAT